CAAGAGACTGTCCATTATTTATAAAACCTACTTCCTGGGAGATAGTGAAAAGTAAATACAAAGAACAGGGTCATGGGAGATGAGTGTGTCAGGTAAGGCGAGCGGACAGGTGTGTGTAGTGAGGGAGCGTGAGCCAAGCGTGAGCCCCAGCAGTGCTTTGTGAGGCTCAGTGTAGAAGGGAGCCCAGCCCTGAGGGGAGAGCCAGGCCTGGAGGACCGCAGAGAAGGACAGTCCCTGCAGGCAGCGCCACTTCCTGCCCATGTGCCTGGGGCAAAGCCCAGGCAAGCGTTGGCTGGGCAGAGCTGGCCGGGGGAGACAAGCAGGGGCTGCCAAAGAGTCCTGGGGAGAAGAAGGGTTGGCTCTGCTGGGCTGAGGGCTTCTTGGGAATTGAGGCGCCGTGGGAGGGCTTGGAGCAGAGTAGGGAGAGGCTTAATAGGGAGAGGTTTAGTTTATTTGTTAAAAGAATGACAGATGTGGGGGTGAGAGAGGACAGCGAAGGTCCTAGTTACTGTTTGGTCCAGGGCAGTGAAGGTCCTAGTCTACTGTTTGGTCCAGGGCAGAGAGGAGGGTGCTTGGCTGGAGGTCAAGCGGCACAGGAGGCGAGCAGTGGCTGCAATTTGGAGGCCCCTTGCTGCTCGGCCATCGGGCCTGGAGCGCCAAGGACATTGCGGGGGAGGGGCAGGCAGAGGCAGGCTCAGCCTTCTTGAATGTGTGGCGACAGGGGATCCTGTAATGAGGGCAGGCGTTTCCCACATGTGGCGTCTGACTCTGTGGTTGGACGTGCGCACATACGTCAGAGGAGGGGAAAGTAAGAACCAACACCCTCAGTTCAGGGTTGTAGGGGGGGATTTCTCGGGCACGGCTAAGTTATCACGGGTGCCTCTTGATCCAGGCCGCGGAGCGCTCTGTGCCAGTGTTCGGGTTTGTCCTGACACAGGCTGGGTTAGAGGTGGGGTTCTCCGAGTGTGGTCCCTGCACCAGCACTTAAGTTGTAAAATAAAGAAATAAGCACTTCTGGGCCGACCCCAGGCCCAAAAGCCTTGGGCACGGGACCGACAGTTGTTCTCCACAAGACGTCTTCGTGAGGGGCAGGCTGAGCTTTGGAACCGCCGAGTTAGAGTTATTTACGGAAGAACTTGGGTCAGGAGCATGGGCTGAGGAAGGAGCTCCTTCAGCATCACTGGTGGGCCACGTCGTGATGGCAAGGGGACGATACCGCGAGGAGAGGCATCACAGCTAAGCCGTGAGGCCTCAGGGCCAGCGCATCCCGCCTCTGCCGAGGTGGTTTGGACTTCCTCCCTGGTGCTGTGCGCGTCCTTCGACTTTCGGCCTCTGTCTCTCTGGCTTCCTCACTCCTTCATCTGTGTCCACAGAGGAGTTCCAGGTGCGTGCTCCCTCAGAACCCACTGTGGCGGAGCTGGGTGGTGACACCGTACTGTCCTGCTCCGTGATGCCAGCCATGAACGCGGAGAACATGGAGCTGAGGCGGTTCCGTGCCTGCCACATTCGCAGATTCTGTGATCATCTATCGGAACAAGAGGGAGCAGAAGGAAGAACAGATGGCCGCGTATGCAGGGCGGACCTCCTTGGTGACCGACTTCCCTGCCCGCGGGGAGGCTGCCTTGAACATCCACAAGGTCCGGGTTTCTGGCAACGGGATGTACAATTGCTTCTTCAAGATGGGAAGCTTCTTTGAAGAGGCCAACTTGGAACTGAAGGTCGCAGGTGGGTTGTACAATGTGTTGTACAGCCCTTGGGAGAATGTGTCATGCAGCCCTTGGGAGAATGGAGATGAGAAGACTGTCAGGGCTTCTTTGGTTTAGACTGGCATTTTGTAAATGGTGAGTAGGTGCTTCATGCACTTGTTCATTTATGTGACAGAAACACGGTACACAGACTCCTCAGATGTGTCGGGCCGTGTTCTGGGCACCAGATCAGGGAAACAAAGATGGCAACTCTATAAATTTTATATTCCAGAGTAAGGGCTAGAAAAATCATAATAAGTGAATCAGTAGAAGATGTTAGAAGGTGACAAGGTTTTAAAACAATAGACCAAGCAGAAAGATGTGGGCTGGGTACCATGTAGCACGGCACACAGGAGCTCAGGCAGGGTTTCATGGACAATCTGAGCAAGGTTGAAAGGAATTAAGTATTCGGCCACGTGGCTATCTGTGAAGCTGACTTTCCTGCAGAGGAAGTACTGTGACTCAGTACTGAGACAGGAGCATGACTGCTGTACTCTGTGTACGAAGCCATCATGGTTGGTGGGAAGGCGACGACACTGGAAGAAAGAGCAGCTCTTGGATCAACACTGCCCACCTACGTCAGGACAGGCTGTTAGGAGTAGACGCTGGAGGCAGCGGCGCAGCAGATCAGCAGATAAGACTGCAAGAGCCCCGGAGCTCAGTGCGCCGTGAGGTGAAGGCAAGGGGCCCTGTGATGCGCTAATGGTGACCAATGACTGCTACCCAAGGAGTCCTTGGGGCTGAGTGTGGGCCTGAGGGATCCGGCTGGTGCAGTCCAAGGAGAAGCACTGAGAAGGAAGTTGGAGAGGAGATGGACCCTTGGTCAGCAAAGGGTTTTGGGGTTTGGACGCTGAGCTGAGGAAGTTCTGAATACAGCACTGGGGAGGATGCGCACGTGGGCAGCTATGGTGATGGTGAACGGAAGCTGAACCAGGAGGAGCCCCTGACGGCACTGAGGAGGTGGACAGGAGGACGGCCTTCCCCCGGCCAGGGCGGTGGGGTGGGCGAGGAGGGCTTAGACACGGGGCTTGAGGTAGACTGTCACTGGACACGGTCCGAGGACGTCCCCGAAGTAGAAACAGGGAACCTTGAGTCACCTCAGCCACCATGAGCAGCGTGCAGGTTTGCTGCCTTCCACTGCGGAGAAAGCACTTTCAGGAAGGGTAAGGAGAAGCACAAAGAGACCCCCAGGCTTCCCTGGGGTGGGGTTGTAGGATGGAGAGCGGTTTAGAGGTGAAAGGCACGGCCTGGATCCAGGATTGAGGGTTGGTTGTGTTGAAGGCCCTTAGAGCGGTTTCCTGAAGGAGAAAAAAGCTTGCATAACTTTTGTGTCCTGAAGCTTCCCTTTTTCTTAAGCAGTATAGTTTTAATATTACTATTTTTGTTATCGCCTTTCTATTCATAGTTATTTCTTCTATTCTACCTCAGACTTAACTGGTAGATTTCAGGCAGCATTTGGAGGAGGAAATGGGAAATACAGAGACTCCTGGGGTTTAATTTTGGCTGTTTTTTTCTTTAGTAATAGGAATAGTGATCACGTGGTCCGTTTTCTCCTGCTGCAACAAGGCTGTGTAACAAGTAGCCAGTATGTCTATTTGGCTATATTAGCCACTTTCTTGTCGCTAGGACAAAATACCTGACACACTGACGTTCAAGGAGTAGAGATTTGTTTTGGTTCGCGGTTTTAGATCCTTTAGACCTTGGTTGGCCGACTACAAGGTGGAAGCCGCAGTGTGCAGGTCTCTGCAGGGGAATGCGGTCGAACCCTGCGACCAGGAAAGAGAGGAAGTGAGAAGCTGGGGACAAGAACACGCCCGTCACCGCTTGTCGCAGTGACCCACCAGTTCTGTCCAGGCCCCCCCTCTGACCAGCACACCCTGCTCTGAACTCACCAGTGGATTAGCTCACTGGTGGGTTCTGTGCCCCACGGTACAGCCGCCTTCAGAACGCCTCACCTCTGCATACATGAGGCTTGTGAGAGCATTTTGGATCTAAATGGTAACACTGGCCTGTGGCAGTAACTACCGAATTAACTCAGGTGCTAGGGGAGTCCAAGGGGTCTGGCCAGATTTGGCTAATCTCTCGCCATTTAGTCTATCCTTGGTTTTTCTTTTTTATATTTTTAGTTTACTTATTTGGCACAGGGTCTCGCTACACTGCTCGGACATGTAGTGATCCTCCTGTGGCAGCCTCCCCAGTGCTGGGATTATAGGTGTGCACCGCCACGCCTGCTTTTGGTGGCCCTCACAGAGCACCCAGGGTTTTTGGTCAGCATGGCATGTGGTACCAGGGATCAAACTTGGGTCCTTGTGTTTGCCAGCCAGGCACTTAGACTACTGAGCTATCTCCCCAGCAGTGATTTTTATCTTTTTTAAAAAAAATTTTTTTTAGATATTTATTTATTTATTTTACATTTAGTTAGTGTGTGTGTGTGGCCAGCTCAGCCCACCAGGGGGCGGGGCTGGCTGGCATGTGGTGCTGGGGGATTGAACCGCGGTCCCTGTGCTTTGCTGAGCTTGTTCCAAGTAGGTGCTTTAGACCACTGAGCCATCTTGCCAGCCCCAGTGATTTTTATCTTAAAGAAATAAATTTAGGGGCCGGGGAGATGGCTCAGTGGAATAAACACTTCCCTGGCAAGTGCAAGGCCTGAGTTCAATCCCTGGTTCTACCAAAAAAAAAAAAAAAAAAAAAAAAAAAGAAAAAGAAAAGAAAAAAAAGAAATAAATTTAAAAACAAAAATCTTTTCCCACCCTCCAAATCCTCTTCAGAAAGAGATACTTCTATTAATTGAGTGAGGACCAAACCAGAATGTGGTATGTGTTACAGGCGGTCTCCTGAGGGATTGCACAGTAAACCAGAAAAAAAATCTCACTTTTTTTTGCAGCCAAGCATATATCACCTATTTCTTACAGGTTTTTATGATGAACAGTAATCTGTAATCAGAGAATTTGAAGTGCAGTTTGTCACTCATAAGTCGTCCTGCATTTGCTTGGTAACTGAGGTGACCATCTGAGTTATCTAGTGGGCCATAACGGCTTAGAACAAAATTGTCATATCTTTGTGACAGGAAGTAGTTTTTCGACCATCCTCCCGCTGAAAGGGGACATAGGATTGTCATCCCCGTTGGTGCTTTACATTTCTGAGTGATGGCTTCCAGGCCTTTGAGGACGATGTTTTGGGGTCACGCTTTGGATGAAATATGGCTCCGATTTTCCAAGTTAATATAAACGCTTCAGGGAGATTAGCAGGAATTGAGTGCTTGTTTTGGCAGCATGTGTACTGAAATTGGAATGATACAGGGAAAATTAGCCTGGCCCCTGTGCAAGGATGACACACAAATTCATAAAGCATTCTATATTAAAAAAAAAAAAGGAGTGTACTCATAGTTGTAAGTTTGCCAACGGTCAGTGCTATAAGGAAAGGACAGGAATCTTCTCTCATTTTTAATTCTGAATGCAGAGAATTAAACCTTCTGTTTTTACTGTTTATTTGTGCCCATAGTCACCTGAAAAGGTGGCCACGTGGCGCCTGGCTGGGTCTGTGCGCATTTCTGGCGTTTGGCTGGCGGCTGGCCTTAGCGGGAGCCCTGTGCCGACCAGGTGTTATCCCGTGGTCGTCCCACAGTGGGCAGCCCGGCTTTTCGTGGCTACAGCAATGGCCGTGGGTGGATCCAAGAGCTGCCCAAGTCTCTGTAGGAGTCACATTAGCTGAAGTCTCATTGGCCAAGTAAGTCACATGATTGAGGCATAAGGCAGACTATAAAGGCAATGAGAAGCGTGTGGAAGAGGGAGTTGGATGTCAAAAATAATGAAGAATTTGGGATTTTTTAATACTAAGTTTATCATAGATAGGGCAAAATTAATCAAATTCGTTCTAGAATTTGGAGTTTAAAGTGTATATGGGGAAACTTGGTAGAGATAATTATGGGGACATGGATTTATATGGGAACAGAACTGGGGAGAAAGTGTCACTGAATATAATTCTGGAAGAGTTTTACAAAGTCAGCATGGAGGCAGACGTCCCAGAGGAATGTGGGAGGTGAAAAGCCAGAAAGGTCATGGACAGAGCCCTGGGACCAAATTCCTGCTGCTTCCTGAGGGACTTGTGGTTGTGGTGAAGAGGCCCCGTCCTCTGTGTCCCTTCAGTGGCCCCCATGCTCCTTCCCTATCCTCTCTGTGGCCCTGCCTCTACCCTGACCCCTGCTGGGGTACCCTTCCAATAGAACCCCAAACGCTGGAATGTAGAGGCCTTCCCCGAAGTTGTGTACCACGTTGGACACTCTGGGCTCCCGGGGCCCATGGTAGTCTCCGGGGTACCCACAGCTTCATGTTTGCAGGGGTGGGCTCTGCCCCTGAAGTATACATCGAGGGCCCGGAAGAGGGTGGAGTCCGTGTGGTGTGCAGGGCCTCTGGGTGGTTCCCCGAACCCCAGGTTCAGTGGAGAGACGACAGTGAAAGAAGATCCTGGCATTCTTTGAGGCCCACAGGCAAGATGCTGGTGAACTCTGCAGTGTGGAGGCCACTCTGGTGGTGACAGACCGCTCTGTGGGGAATGTGACCTGCTCTACCTCAACCCGTCCTGGACCAGAAGAAGGCCATGGCTGTTTTTATTCCAGGTCAGTGCTGCCCCCACCCCCAGCAGATGGGGCTGTGACACCCACGCGTGCTGGGCTGGCTGGCCTGGGCTGTGCTCCTGACTGGGCCTCGGCGTGGGCTACAGAGCCCTTCTTCCCACAGGCCTCTCCCTGGAAGCCAGCTTTTTTGTGAGCCCGACCGCGATGGGCCTTCTACTCTTTGGGGCTGGCTCTTTTCTCTATAGAGAACATTCTGCAAAGCTGGAGACACAGCACAAAAAGAAGAATCTGAGGCTGGCAAAGGAGGAGGATAGGAAGCTAAGAGAGCAGGCGCAGAAGGCGAAGGGTAAGACAGGTTGGGCAAGATCAGAGTTGGGTCTGAAAGGGACAAGGCAAAAGGGCCAGGGTGGGTGGATCCAGTTCCCCAGGGGCCTCAGTCCAGGGAGGGTGGCCAAGGAGGTGTGGAGAGGAGGGCTGGAAGTGTGGGGGCTTGTGTGGGGCTGCTGTTAAAACTTTTAGGAGACAAAGTGGTTTTTTGTGTGTGGGTTTTTCAGCTACAGTCTTCCTTCCCATAGTAGTGGGAGTTCATGTCTTTTTCACCCTTTCAGATGAACTTCAGGCAGAACTGAGTAAATCCTGCTTTCCCTCCTGAACTCTGTAGGTCCCTTAATGGCAGATATTGTGTTTCTTACCTGTCCACTCGTTATATGCTGCTTTTCAGATCAGAGGAAGGCGGCTTACCTGGCAGGTAAGTGACTCTCCCAAGGCCCCTCGGCTCCGCAGGCCCCTATGCCAGGTGGCCCTGCTCCCTGTTCCTGTCCAGCACAGCTCTGTAGATGCTGTTCCCTGAGGGCCGAGGTGGAAGCGCGTGAGGCAGAGCCCTGCTTCGTGGCTCTTCCCATCTGGGTGCTCTTTCCTGCCTGGAGCTTGAGGGCTGGTTTCCGTGACCATCCCGGAGTGTGTCCTACATTCTGGTTGTTATTTTGCCCCCAGCCTGTGCTCCATATTATTGGCTTTATAGCCTTTGGCATGTGTAGCCCTTGTTCTGCACCAAAGGCCCATATTGAGATGTCATTATTTGATTAATATAAACGAAGGGGGTCGTTACACTCAGGATTGCGACCCCTGTTTCCTCCCCCATCACCAAGCAGGGTGCTTGTTCTCTGAGGCTCTTAGGGGTCCCAGGAAATGTGACAGGAGAGGGCTGGGTTGCTAAGTGAAGGTGGGAGTGCGATGCGTGAGCTCCTGGGGTTGGGGAGACAGCCGAGCGGCGTGGCTCCTCCCGGCAGGCGCAAGGTCCTGAGTTCAGTTCCTGGCTCCAACAAACAAAAACAAAACAAAAAAATGAACTGAGTGCTATCTCCAATAAGGATTCTTAGCCCTAGAAATATTTTACCTGGGAAAGGTTGGGGGTCTCCTCGAGAACCCTCCTCCCACTGCTGTCATTTAACCATTCCTTACTTTTAGTAGTTCCTCAAGGCTATCTTTGCCAAAGAAAAGCTGGGTTCATAATGCTTTTTGACAATTATGGAATAATATATTTTATTCCCTAGAATATTGTCACACACAATACAGTTACAATTCTTACTGGCAAAGCAATACAGATACAATATGAATTTTGGATTCTGTTTTTGAGGCAGATAGAGATGTTCACAGCCCAAAGTTACCTAGCTAAGGGACAGTGGCAGGCTTCAGGCTGTAAGCAGCTTTTTCATAGGTGCCATGGAATCTCCCAGGATGCCCTGCTTTGTCCCACAAGGTGGAGAGAGCATCTCTCCTCCTGGGGTTGCTATCACCTGTACAATGCGGGCCAGATCGAGGCCGGGAGGTGCCTGCCCAGTGGGCTGGTTGTGGCTGACGAGTAACCAGGATGTGTTCTCTTCCAGCCTGGAGGAAGGCGCCACTCTGTGCAGGTAAGTGAGCCCGTGGTTGCCGCTGGTTTGGCTCCTGCAGCCTCTGTTGTGCCTCACTCCTGTCAGTGCCTTCACCCCAAGCTGGGACGCGTGTTCTGTGGGTCACTACTGCAGCCTCCAAGTGAAGACCACACGGACTGCTAGTTGGGACTCTAGATTTGTCTCCATGTGGCCCCTTCCTGTGCTATAGATCCATGCTAGGGTTAGCAACACCTTCTGAAACTCTTGCTCAACCACTAATGAGGACTTTGTTTGCGAGGACAGGCTCTAAGGGCAGGGCGATGACTGTGGAGCCAGAGTAGCTGGTCCTAGGAGGTTTCGGAATTCCAATCTGACTCAGAACTCAGGATTTGACAGAGGTCCCTGGTTCTGCATGCTTTTCACCCTGAACTCTCCCCTGTTGGCCCAGCTCTCCCGGTTTTTTCATTTCCCTTCTGCTCCTCTGTGTTTTGTTTTTGTTTTTGAGACAGGGACTCACTGTGGCTGTCAGGCTGGTCTTGAATGCATTGTATAGTTAAGGCTGCATCCCTCTTTGGAGGGTCTTGTCTTTTCCTGCTTCTAGAGCATTCCATCATTTGTGGTCTATTCTTCCATCTTCCAAACCAGTCGGGCAGCATGACTCACCCTGACTCCATGATAAACCATTCTTTAGCCACAACCAAGAAAAGTCTCTGCTGTTAGAGTTTCATACAGTTAGTTTGGGCTCATCTGGACAGTGCAGGATCATTTCCTCACCTCAAGAACCTCATTTTCAATCATATTTTAAAAGTCCTCTTCCCATGTATTGAGCATTTTCATACTTTTTGCTGCTCAGGATGTGGATATACTTGGGGGACTCTCATCCTGGGGTTGTCCTGGAAGCTTTCAAGCTCTTTGGGAAATTTCTGGGGAGGCAAATGTCTGGGTCCATAGATTTGGGTTCACCCACATCTTTTAGGGTGTTTTTGCTTTCTCTAGCCTGTAAAATGGGAAGAGAAGTCACTAGAACCCGACCTCTCACTGTGTAAACGTGTTTCCTGCTTTGAGGTTCTTTCTTTCCCACCCTCTCCATTGATGCTTACCTGGGAAGAACCTCTGTCACTGTATGCTGAGTTCCCTCCCCTCATGGCTTCTAGTCACCTGAACTTTTAGCTAAGGCAGTGCTTCGTGAATAAATGGAGGCCTTAAAAATTTGACATCTGCAGTTCCATCCCAAGAAAGCCGTGGAATCAGCATGACTGTGCCTTGGACTTGCAAAAGCATAATTTGATGGTGAAATCGGGGTCAGGGCTGTATCCGGCACCTGAGTCCCAGTGTGCTAAGCTCCCCTTCCCTCCTGGGGATCCAACCCGGGACCTTCACTGAGCTACGTCCCCAGCTCTTTTGAAAACAGTATTTCACTCTGAGAGTGCATCTTGCTATTTTGGTTTTTTTGAGTTGCGCAGGGTCACCTGTCCCTGCAATCCTCTTGCTGCAGTCTCCAGAGTTGCGATTTAGAGTTAAGTCTCACGGTAGTCTTCACGGAAAGGTTGCAGCAGGATGCGTTTAAATAAGAAATGCACTTCACAGGTGAGTTTTCCAGCACACTTCCCCGCTGCCCTCACGGTACTGTGCTTCAGCATGTTGCGCAGTCTCTGAAAAGTCCCTGATACGAAGTGCCTGCTTCTCTTGCACATTGGTGGAAGGAGAAGTTCCAGGCTTGTGAGTGATTTCATGGTTGTCTGGGGGCTCTTTTTGCTGTCCCTATGGCTTCTGACCATCTCTTGATGTTCTCTGTGGTGGTGTAAATTTTGACACCTTCATTTGTGTTGGGGTGGGTGGCAGTCAAGGCTGGGGCTGCTTCTCAAAGGCCTTGGGACATGTCTGTCCCTCAAATCAACATTTGGTTTCTTTTCCT